TTTATAAGATCTTCTAATATATTTGATTCCTTTTTAACCAGTTTCTTTACTTTTTTATTAGATGATTTATCTGATAAAGTAGGTTCACTAACACGTTTTTTAGATAGGGTAGAGCTGGATGGATCTTCTTGAGACATATCTATATCCGGCATGTCTTCTTCTAGAATTTCTGGCATATCTTAAGATTGGATACTATATTTTTCCATCCCCCTAACTACTGATGATGTATTTGACTCAGAACCCCTTCTAGCATTTGTTTTGATAATTTTGACCTCCTTACTACAACCAGAGAATGGACATGTATTTGGCATTGTAAGTAAAAGTTCTTTTTCGATACAAATTCTATGAAAAACGTGCCCGCAAAATAGTGTTGTGAATGCTTTGAGAGGATGTGTAATAATTTCATCTTTGTATACCAAACAATGCTCTAATTCTGTAATTTTTATACTCTTAACAATGCTATTCTTGAAAGTTTTTAGAATATTATATGCAAGATTTTTGATGTTATTAATAGGAGTAGTTGATGTGGAAATAGAGGTAAACATATTCAAGAGTAAAATTTATGTAATTAGATTCATATATGTTAATATAGAGTATAATCAGATAAGTATTTTACAATTTTTTAGAGTGCTTTGCACTTTGTATAGCATATATTTAGCTTGTTTTTATACATTAAACATCTTCACGACTAAAAAAATTTAATTTGCAGATTTCATTAAACTAATTTCAGATTTGGCGATCCATTTATTCATGAATTATTTAGTATGGCCAGGAGAGTTAAAGACTCGATTTAAAGGATCATTGCTTGATTTTTGTAGCAAAAAATTTAGCTTAAAGGTAAGTGTAGTTAGTAAGTTGGTTAGCATATATAACTTTATTAAAAAATATCTACTATATATTACCGAATAAAAGCAACCAAAAAATTTCTAATTTTTGCAGGTCAAATTGATAAGGTTGCTTTTATTTGGCTATAAAGACAAATCACACTTTTAGTCATGTGATTTAAAACTGCCAATCAAATCTCGAATCAGATATAGCTTTGATTGGTTGTCAATTATGCATAAAAAATTTTTAATACCGTAGTTAAAAAAAAAACTATTGTTACGTTTCAAATATTCCTACGTATAGTCATTGCTTATGATCTTTTTAATGGATTTTCAAATGTGGGAATAAAGTTTGTTTACATGCATTCTTGTATACTATTACTGGTGCAAAATTATTGTACCAAATATTATGGAGCGAAATATTATTATCGAAATTTGTATATGAATATTCATATGTGTGAAAGTTAATAAGGCCTATACTAATACTAAGATATTTAATGTTGTGTTTAGAAACTTCTATAGAGAAAAAAATTGGACGTTTGTTATCTTATTCTGAGATAGGAAATGCTTGTGAAATTTCAGGTTTTTCTGGTTGTATTTGAAAGGTAAAAGCATGTTAGTAGGTACATGATGAAAGAATGAAAGACTTTCGAATGTATATTTGCCTTATTTAGAGCAAGTTCTTCTTGTGCCTTATATAAAAGTTCAATCAAAAAAAAAAAAAAAAAATTCTTATCATTTTTTTTTTTAAAAATAACAAAAGAAACTATAAAAAAGAAAGTTCATCAGTTCTATACTATTTAAGAAAAGACGATTGTCATTCGATATGCCCTTCATGAAAGTAATACTAAGGCCGCTGCAAAGTTTGGTTTGGACAAGTCTCAAGTTGGCTATTGGGTAACGAAACTAAAGGACCAATTAAGTGAGGTTGGCCACAAAAAGTCCTGTCATCTTGGTGGTGGTGGTAGAAAGGAGTTTTTTTTTGAAGAAGAAGCTCAGCTTTATGCCTGAATAGTTGAAATGTGTAATGCAGCACTTGCTATAACCTATAATAGTCTCAAGTTAGTGATGTTAAGGATTGATTCTGAAACTGCTTTAAAAAGTCATGAACTTGCAAAAAGGCGGCTTGCAAGTAGTTTCAAGGCTTCCTCTACGTGGTTAATGCATTTTTTAAAATGCCATAAACTTACTCTACGCTAAAAAACAAAAATAGCACAAAAAATGCTAGCAGACTTTGAAGAAAAGTTGCTTAATTTTCAACAGCATGTGATCCAATTGCACCGTATGAAGAATTACCCTTTGAGCAACATTGCGAACATGGATGAAACCCCTGTTTGGTTCGACATGGCTGGTGATCTTACGATCGAAGAAATCGGTGCCAAAACAGTACATATTCGCACAACTAGAAATGAAAATAATCGCTTTACAGTGGTTTTAACATGCTTCACTAATGGCCAAAAGCTCCCCCCATGATCATATTTAAGAGCCAAAGATGGCCTAAAACTAAGCCTTCACCTCCTCCTGGTGTAATTGTTTCCTTTCATGAGAAAGATTGGATGGATGAGCAGGGTATGTTGACCTGGGTTAATAATTATAGTAGAGACCAACCAGGTGGTCAGGAAAATGAGCCTTCTCTTCTTGTATTTGATTCATTTAGTGGACATCTTACTGATACTGTTGAGATAAAAGTTAAAGAAAATAATAATGATTTTGTTGTTATTCTTGGTGGTTTAACCTCTGTGTGCCAACCACTTGATGTTTCTATTAATCGTCCTTTCAAAGTAGTGCTTCGTCGCCACTGGCATGCATGGATGGTAAGTGGTGGTTCTGGAAAAACCAAGAAAAGAAACTTGAAATGCGCAGACCTATACACTATATGTGAATGGGTACTTGCATCGTGGGCAGAAATTAGTTCTGAGATTATTCAATGTGCCTTTCGCAAGTTTCTATTTCTAATGCCATGGATAGTTCAGAGGATGATGAAATATACCATGATGAAATCTTTGATAATAGAACTCACCAAATCTCTGATGAAATTCACTGTGATAAAATTTGCCATGATAAAATTTTCTCTGATGAAATTTGTAGTGATGAAATTTCAAGTGAAAATATTATCATTATTGATTCTAGTGAAGATGAAGATAATAATACTAATCAGGATATTTTTGTTGAAGACGACGAAGAAGTTCTTATTTTTGCAACAAATCAATAGAAATGTATTGTCAAAAGTTTTTTTAACAATTTAATAAAACTTAGACATAAGTTGGTAATGATCAAATGTAAATTTCCACCCTGATATTCTTTCCTATTAATGACTGCTATCCTGGCAGTCATACAAATCAGCATTATTCTAACGTGAGTAGGGATCGATATAACCAGGACAAAAGTCGAGTTTGCAGAAAAGACAAAATTGGTTACAATCAATTTCCCCATGCTTACTAATATACTATGATTAATTCTTACCTTATACTCACATACTAACAAACATTGACTCATACTTTCATTTGACCTAATGATCGGTCGAACATGTGACTGTAACCGGGCTTGTCACATGTTCGATCATTGACTAATTTAACAAAAGCTACCTCGATACATACATATCAAGTAGTTTTGTATAGTACTTGCATATATATCATTAACGGCATATAAAATAAATAAATATCGTATGCATACGAACGTATATAATTATAGTATGATTTTATTGGCTCTATATATCTCATGTAACAGTATTCGAAAACTAGGGTTGCTTATATTCGGTAACTAGTGTTTTTTTGTTTTTTTATCATTTTTGGCATTTGAAACCAGGGGGGTTGCTTTTATTTAGGGGTTGCTTCTAATCGGTAATATATGGTAATAGGTTTGATTATTTTCAGATAGATTTATTGCAAAGCAGGCCCAAAGGGGTGAAGTTGGGTTATAGTGAACTAATCTAGATACTTTTATATAAGTCATAGATATCCTCAATTTTAGTTATAGAAGTGTTCTTACTAGTTGACTTGGGTATAGAAGCTCGAGTTTCTGGTTCAGGCTTTTGATCCGAGTCAAGGTCAGAATCAGAAGTATCACCCTTAGCATACTACTTTCCAGAATCAAAATGGTTTATCTTATGTCTTATTGCAATTCTGCTGAGGAATTCAAGATGTTGCGAAGTTAGATTTTGACTACTATGAACTCTAGAAGCATGTTTACCTCTGATTTTTCTTATTCTTTTGGCTGTAATATCATATGGTTTTAAAAATTTACTAAATACTCCTGTACTGCATTTTCTATTAATACTATAGACAGGATTGCGTAATTTTCCAGTTGCTATTGCATCTTGGATCTAGGTAAGCAATTCTTTTGCACGTTCTGAATTCTTTTCTATAGATAGAAATTGCCGAGGTTCGGGATTATTTTTTGCTTCTCCTTTATTTTTAATATACCCGATACAATACCAAGAATAACCAGGCTTGTACTATTTAGAAGGATTTAATTCACTGGGTTCATAATGGATAATACAAAGAGTGGCAACTTTGGCGGGTCTCATACTCAACATTATAATTATATCTGCAAGATCTTGCATAGTAAGGATTTTATTAATATTGATATTTTGAATTCTTCTAAGTTCTTCCTCTAAAAAAAAGTGTTTGAGAGTTTTAGATAGATTGGGTAATCGCTATTCGAGTTGCCTTTTTTGAATTTCATTAGAAGCTCGAGTAACTTCTGGTAATTTGGCATATATATAAATTTGCTTGGAACCAACCCTAGCTTCTGCTAACTCTTTATGAAATTGTAAAACACGAGAACTGGCTGCTACAATTGCTTCATTTGTATTATTTTTTGGCATAGCTAAGTTTAAAGCATGTAACTAAATATCTTACACATCTTTAGTTTTTGCACAATATTGAGCTTTTTCCTTGATAGTAAGTCTTTTCTTTTTGTTGTTTGAAACCAGAGCTCTTATTTGATTTTCTTTGAATAAGTGCTGACAGAGAGCCTTTTTCACATCTTTACAAGCCTTTCAATCCAGTAGCATAGTACTAAGCTCATTAGCATGAGCACATGATTGAAGCAGGTTTGATTCAGCTAATAGGTTATATTTATTAAGGACCTAATCCAAAATAGAGGTAAAGCTATTAGTTTTGGGTTTTCTAGTTTTTCAGACAGTTGCTATGATAGATATGTAAATAGTCTATATTGATAAGTAGAATGTGATTATAGATTAACCTACTTATTTTTTTTAATTCAAAATTAATTATGCTTTTTTCTTCTATACCCAGAAAAAAGAGGTTATGTATACCTATCTTTTAAATTGTTTTGCAGCCAAATTTGTCTGCAACTTTTTTTAAATTTTAAATTTTTCTAATAAAATTTTAAATATTGATTTTAGCTATATATTTTCTAAATAAA